AAACAAGCATTTTCAGTGACCATGCTGAGACTGCCCAATGGCCACTCGTGATTACTGCGTACTTTCAAATGATTTTCTCTTAAGTTTACAATTTTTTTATATTTCTTCACCGTGGGAATTAAATAAAAAAATCTTGAACGTGCATGATAACAAACATGTGAAAAACAACCAAGGCCCTTTTGAAGCATGTGGCATGCAAACTTCGCGTTAACAAAATATCCGGTATTCCTTCCGACTTACACGTCTTAAGCATTGATGAGTTTTTCACACACCAATACGAATATTTCAAAAAAAAAATTGTTAAATTTTTGTTAAAGCGAGCAAGATAGATCTGCTGTGGCTAAACATACTTGGACTTACGACCATCGTATAAAATGGGATGAAGCAACCATTTTGGCGATTGATAGTCATAAGTTCTCTCGCAAAATGAGAGAGTCAATTGAAATCGAGAAGCACAACACCATAGATCAGGAGGGACTGAGCCACTACATAGTACGTGGCGTGCTCTCTTTAATGTGCAAAATTAATTTCTCTTGTCTTGGATGCGCGCTCGTTAATTGGAATCACTTCACTACGTTTGACGTTTGAAATAGCCTGCATGCCAGGCGGTCCCTAAAATCGGGCAAGCCTGGGAAAGACCGCCTGCTGGGTTTGGCAGTGTAATCGAATTCCCCGTCCACCAGTGGACGGGAATTGATGATTGGCTGCGAGTCTGAGCCGCTGTCACTCAAAAGTGAATACACTTTAATATGTAAACATATGTAACGTGGTCAGGCATATTTTTCAAGCTTGCCCAGTGTGGATATACACTCAGAGTAACATCACAAGCATCATATTCACCTGACTCGTACATTACACCAACACAGAAAAATCATGATGTAAACATATGTAACACTTTAATGATGCATGCGTTCGCTTTATTAATAGCTGTTGTAAAACTGAACGCTTCTCGAAAGTCGAAACGCGAACTGGTTGTCAAACGCGAGCAAGAGATAGCAGTTAAAGATTTACTCCTTGGAAAGAATGTTTTGGCCGTTCTATGGGAAAAGCTTGATGTTTACATTGTTCCTGTTGGCGCGAGAAAATATAACGAGAATAGATACAGACGGCCGTATAGTCTTTCTTGCAACGGGTTTTATAGCAGGACTATTACGCCTAGGCCTATTAGCCGCTTCACTTTCTGAACTTTTTAAGGCTTTCGTTACCACACGGCTTCGTTAGGGAGACGAGACAGTTCATATTGTCAACTGAGGTTTTTAATATACAACGGTCTATTTGTTCGAACGTACACAGGGCGCAACGCGTTTATGTCTCGTTTGATTATGGCAATCAGTTCGCTTGCATTTCGGATATTTCGCTCACACGGTTTACAAACTCGGTCGGATAGTTCCGTCGGGGTTCCGAGGTAGAATTAACTTCGATTCCTAAATGAACTGAACCGGCAATTCGGCTTATTTCGGCCAAGGTTTTGCCACTGTCGTAACGTTTCTTTTGCTTGCCTTAAATAAATAATTTCTCCGACGATATATAAGAATATAAGATACTTTCTCTATTGCCCCGTATTTTAGTTTCAAAGCACACTTAAATACACAAACGACAGTGGTCATTTACATTTTCCGTGCTTGCTTTTCTACCCCTTGTCGTTATTCAGAGATCCTGATTGAAACTTTCAATGGCGTTTCTTTCGACATATTTTTATACATTTGTAATTTTGCGACCAAACAATAACATAGTTTGACAGTTTGATTATTAATATATTTAGCGTTTGCTGATTGGCTAATTGGACCCGGACAAAAAAGTGGGCGGTTATCAAATTACACTGCCAAACCCAGCAGGCGGTATTTTAGACCGCCTGCCATGCAGGCTACGTTTGAAATGACGTGGTTGATGTGCCGTTTAATTAAAAAATTTTAAATGACGCGAGCCAACAGATCACGACACTTTTGTGTATAAAAAGGGCGTGTGAATTAAACAAGTCACATATTATCACAGAGTAGAGACATACAGAGACGTAACTAGTGTACCCACTTTTTTTGTGCGCATGCTCGGCAAGTTACTAGATGCATGCATCTGATTGGATGACGACCTGATGACGACTCACTTTAAACTTGCTGAGCACGCGCAGTTGATCATTTTTCGCCTGATCGCCTGAAAAAAAGTGGGTACATGATAACGTAATCTTCCGCAGTGTTTACAACGGTCAGTTACGTCTCTGTATGTATTATCTACTCTGTGATATTATTAGCACTGATGAAGATCCGGACTTACGGATCGAAAACTTTACAGTAATAAATTTACGTGGCGTTTCCACAAACAAAACTATTATAAAATTTTTGTTGTTGACATATTTCACATTGACAGAATTACGGAAAATATTTTTATTTTAAATAACGCAAATTTATTAAGGATCTATACCAAATTTCGTAATATAATATCCGCGGACTTAAACTGCTTTTGTCAAATCAAGTCTGAGCTAAAAAAAACTTTCATGTAATCAAGCCCGTAATTCTAGCTACTGTATCTCTGGGAGATAGTCGTTAAAGTTACAATCTTGGACATAACTGGTTAAGACCACCATTTCCTCTCTACAAAATTCGCATATTATGATAAATTCCATGTTGAAACTGTTGCGCTTCTCAAACTTCCGCTCCACCAATTCAGTGTTGAGCTTGTCGCATTTGCTAGATTACTAAAAGTTCTTTCGCCGTTGTTTAATTAAAGCATTGTCATTGAACTGTGGAAAGGGGGTGACAAACTTGTTTTCCCAATGTGCATTAACTTTGTAATGTTGGCTGGAATGGTCTCAAAGTTATGTCCAAGAGTGTAGCTACTGTAGTAATTACTGGTCACCTTGACACCTTGATTAACTCGATATTTTTGCATATGCGGATACCCGATATGGTTTCAAATAATGTGGCGATCAACAATCTATGACTATACTACATCTGAGGGTTACCCCTTCGTTAGAGAATAAATTCAATAATTTAGCAAACAAAAATCTATGACTATACATCTGGGGCCGGTTGTATAAAAACGTAATTAGCGCTAACTGTAGTTAGCGTTGATCACTGTAGTTAAATCCTTAAAGGGGAAGTCAAGTCCGTTCTGCGCATCGGTTCTGCGCATAACAATAGAGGGCCCTCTGAGGTAAACATTGCCCAAATTTTGAATGTTTCGAATTTTTCTGAACACAAACTCTATTTCATATTCATGTAGAAGCATAACGAACCAAAATGGTGTTAGATATTCCGACAGTACATCATATTTTAAAAAATACAGCAGTTCAAAATGTAAACAAACCGTTTGTTTACATTACGGACTTGACTTCCCCTTTAACTGCAATTAGTTAACTACATGACTTAACTGCGTTGCACAAAACGTAGTTAGTCGGATAGTTAACTAATCACGTAGTTAACTGTGCGTGGGGCTTGCGTGGGGCGTTTAAACACAAAATTACATAAAGTAAGCAGCGAGTAACGACCGCTGACAGACATTTTCAACATGATTGTGGACTCGTATTTTGCAAATAGGCGGGAATTTTATTCAAAACACTAGAAAACAGTGAAAAATATACAAGAAAACAAGGAAAAACCGCCACAAAAATCATAAAAGAATGCAGTTTTTCCTTGAGATGTCTACGTTAAACCAAGGTATAGCTGTTTGGCAATTATATATCAGTGTTTCTTGGTGTAATGGACCATATTTCGTCTTCGAGAAATCGTCCTGTGCAAAAATATGTTCTGTTTTCGTAAAAACACCAAAGCGATAGCGTTTGAAGAGTTTATATTGTCAGGAAACATTCACAGGGAAGATAGCGATTGAAAGTCTCAGGTAACCGTTGCTTTTCATTGTTGTTTTACTGATAAATGTTGTTCACTCCTATACAAACGCCATTTTTAACTACGTTTTGGACAGTTAACTATACCCTAAAGCATAGTTAACTTTAACTACTTTTTAACTGCAGTTTAATAAGGCTATTAACTACACTTTTATACAACCGGCTTAACTACGTGATTAAAGTTAACCACTTTTTAACTACTTTTTAACTGCAGTTAGCGCTAACTACGTTTTTATACAACCGGCCCCTGAGGGTTACCCCTTCGTTAGAGAATAAGTTCAATAATTTTGCAATCAAAAATCTATGACTATACATCTGAGGGTTACCTCGTCGTGAAGGCTTTTAGCTAAATGTTCAGAAAATATAATTTCTGTTACTCCTTAATTATTTAATGCTCACTTTCTTTTCGATAACAGTTTGTCGGTCTTGATATTCTTCCTGAATCGGCATTCTGATTTCCACAAGGTTTTCGTCGTGTGACTGAGCAGGTGACTTTGCTGCTGGTTTGAAATACCAAGCTATCATTATTCCACAAACCAGCGCAGAAACACAGCCTGTGGTTACCAGCCAATACCAGTTATTGGTCGATTCAATGAATGCTTCTTGCGCTGAACCACAAATTGGGGTGTAGAAGAAATATGTTTCAATTGCCGCTGTGGTGGAAAATGAAATGAAAAATGATGTTTAAACCGGTTACAGACGAGCAAGTTTTTTATGACAAGTTTTCACACGACAAGCTCCGGCGTCTTATTTAGAGAACCTGTGTACAGGCTATTATGCTGTAATACAATTTACATAGTGCAGTCTGTATACACAGGCAGGTCACTCTCCTCCGCAGAGCCTTGCGAATCAGTTTAGTAAAATTACGTAATATTACTTGGGAAACAAATTACGTAATTGTTAGTCAGAACGTCATCGGTCTCACCCCCTGTCGCGCACCACTAAATGTCCTCTACTATCCCTACATCATCTCTACAATCCTATATAATTGACTATGCGGAGGAGAGTGCAGGCAGGTAAAAGGGAATGTGAAATAGGCCAGCAGGACATTTTTAAATTTGATAACAAGCGTGAACAATAATATAAACAAAAAGCGCGCAGTGTATGCCGGTTGACACACATTCTTTAAAAAATGGCACATAAGGCTTAGAATACGACATCCGAAATCTCTTACAGGGGCTTAAAATCCGATATAGTATACATGCACCACGGAGATTTCGGCCGGAAAGTTCGGACGGACTCGGGCGCCTATATGTCGCCAAGCACGAGACGAACCGACACAAAGATGTTACATAACGAATATGGTGAAAATATATTGAATATAAAATAATATATTACACTTTAAACAATCGAATATATGATTAAGTTTTCTTTCTTGTACATATACTTGAGTTTTAGAAGGGAATTAAATCGCTTGCATTTCATTGTAAACGAACGAAATTGGCTTTGTAGAAAGGTCTTCAAACGCTGAATGAAACTGTGGTATTTTTAATTAGTGCAAATAGCATGTATTGCACCAGAGATATGACTTCGGAAATGTATGGATCTTGGAAAATCGGTTTTTGCTAGACCTACCCACAACGAGTGCGAGCTTATAGGCTTGCGTCGCTTGCTTAACGTCATTCCTGTATATGAAGAACCTCCTTAATTAACTAGATAAAACTTAATTCTAAATAAATATTTTTATATTGTATACTACTGCAAAGTCTGGCATATGTAGACACATAGTACTTACAACAACTGTTCACGCAGTTTCTATATGCTTGTAAGAAACTTGCGATCGTACATGCGCTGTCGTGTCTTGAATAAGGAGGACAGGCATTTCTATGATTATATTCATCTAATTCTTGGCAGCAAATGGCTTCTCGTAACATCACAATTAGTATGAGTGACACCAATTTCTTCTCTGAAGCCATGCGTCCCGATATCAGAAGAGCAATTTTTCTTTTCTGTCCTGACCTCGAACTTTGCTGTATCAGCAATACTTCATCTTCCAATAACAGAATTAACATTAACAAGCAGCCAATCACAAGAGAGTTATATTATATCGTTTAATTGGGTCAGTTAGAGATAATTAAGGTGATAAATATGTACATGCACAATTGTTGTCCGTTGTGTACTTATGTAATTGTGCAATTAATAAAGCGCTGTCAGCAGTATTTTAAACCAACCTCGGGAGAAACATTTGCGCTGGAAACACTTGCTTGAGCTAAATTTGAACTTTCCATGCACATCTCAACTTTGACTCGCTTGTGTCATTGGGATGCACAATCAGCATACGAATTTCTTCATTACCGGTTTTATATTGGGAGTCTCAAATTAAATCAAACGGAGCTGTTTCTTAGTACTTGCACAAAGATTACGCAGATTATTCTAAATTTAATTAAAATAAACACACGTGTAAATATTTTGTTACCAACGCGATTAGAAAGGCGTGTTTTCCTGAAGGAGAGTCCAAATGGTTCGTTCACGTGAATGTAACCTTGAATGACCGTTCGTTGAAAAACTTGATCAGTTTAACCTTGAATTTCCATTCGTTGAAAGGAGAATGCGTAAGTTACTGTTACTTATATGGACTGATGGTCAAACACCCAATCCAGGAACATTCTCTCACGCCGTAGATTAGGACGCTCCCAGCTCGCTCGCTGGTCGCAAAATATGAACTTTTATGCAAAATATGAACTTAATTCGTGAAGCAAATTGATTGTATTTTGAGATAGATCTATAAGATTATGATAATTTGAACAGTCTAATAGTAGTGTTAGTAAATTAGGCAGTTTGTGATGATTGAAACAAACCAAATAGACCTGCACAAGCTAAACCAAATATGAATTCATTACTTTTGTAGTTACGAAATAGAAAACACTTTCTGAGTTTTCATCCAGTTGGAAAGACTGGGAGAAACACCATATTGACCTGTTCGAATCCACAAGCCAAAGGTAAATATTCCTAAAACATTTAGTTCTTAACAAACTTCCACAAGTTATTTATTCCTTGATTGGATTACCGAATTTTTATCGTTTATAAATAACACAAATTTATTAAGGAACTACAGATTTCAGGCTAATACAATACCCGCAAGCTCCCCTGTCAAATCAAATCTGGGCTGACAGTAATAAAACCCTCAACATAATTGGGACTATGACATATTCTCAGTTGCTACTGTAGAAGATATACAACTACCTGAAAAATACCAAAACAACTTCGACGTGACGAGCTAAGGCCCTAACCCACTAATTTCCAAACGAGGCCCGCCTTCACTCGAAACGTCGAAATTATTTTGGTATTTTGCAGGTAGTCGAGTATTCAAAAGTGCTGACAGTTTTATCTTTGCGAGATAGTCGTCAGGATGATAGCTATAATTAACGTACGGTGACCTTGATTAACTCGATATTTGTACATTTTTGAAGATATCTGATATGGTTTCATATTTAACCTCAGTCAGCACAAACAGGAAAGTGATACATGGGCAAAGTTTAATAATTTAGGAAGGCTTTTAAAATAGTAACTATTGTCATTGAGTACGATTTCCGTCAATATATATAGTTATTTAATTCTCACAATCCTTTCGATGACAGTTTCTCTGTCTTGATATTCTTCTTAAATAGGTTTTCTGATTTCCACAAGGTTTTCAACATCCGACTGGATCAATGGCATTGCTGCTGCCACATTTTGCATTAATTAGTATTTTATGCATGCACTACAAGGTTAATTTACAATTGTTTCAAGAGAGACTGCATATGTTATTTAAGGCGCGGCAGAGTGTAAAAGTTTAAGATTGCAAAAAATCCATGCCCATGGCCAATCGAAAGGTCGTAATTGTGTAATAAGCAACACGCTGTCCGCAGTATTTGTGTTCCTGTTTTATCAATATATCGCTCAAAACATCAATCACAAATCACAATTACTATTGCTTTCAATGCATTGTTTGGAACTCAATTTTTTAAACCAATAGTGGGACAAACATTTGCGCTAGAATCGCGCTTGATGAGCTAAATTTGAACTTTTCACATCTCAATTTTGATTCATTTGTGTCATTTGGATGCGCAATCATACACTACGAATTCTTCTTCAGCAGTTTCATGCGCAGATCGAGTCTCATGATCAATGACTAATGCTAAAAGCATTCTCTAGCTGCAAAGCTTATTATCACGTCTCCTAGTGCCTGCACAACGATTACGCAGATTATGTAAATTTAGTAAAACACAGCCGTAAATATTTTGTTACCAACGCGATAGAACCGTTTCAATCAAGGGCGTGTAGATGCGTGTACTAATTGACTTGTGGACCCGCGTGGACCAATGGACTCAATGTTCAAAATTCGACTGAAAATTCGAAAAACGCGAAAATGGCCAAAAAATATTTGCGTGCAAAGCAAGCTTGCTATGGATGTAAACATCTGTATTGTCATTCCGTAATCGAGTGGCACGAGTCAGAGGAGGAATGAGGGTCTTCCCACAATGCACTGCGGTTCATTATTTTCAAAATTGAAATTCGCGACCACGGATTGTGAAAAATTGTGGATGGTTATCTTGATTATTTCTCTGAAAATTTTCTATTTTCAAAGCTTAGATTTCAGTAAATATATTAATTGTATATCGAATTTTTTATTTTTATTTTTTAAAATTTCTATATTGCGTTTTAGTGATGCTAATCGCGTATTGTATTAATCCTTTTTACGGGTCAGAGTACAAATCACGAAAGTGGCTTTGATATTATGCAGAAGCTATATCACTTTTTTTCGTGAAAAGTCAAAATAAATCACAGCATCGAATTCAGGAAGAGTTGTTCTATCTTATGATACTTTAAAACCAAAAGTAGCTCGCCAAACTGACGGAGTAATCGCGATTTGAAAGTGAGGTAATTTTTACTGTGTTCTGAAATATTGTTGATTTTCATTTCGTCTTTTCTCTCTGAAAAATTTATTTTTTCGAAGGTAACTTTTTATACATGTGTTAATCGTGTATCGAATTTAATTATTCTTATTTTTAAAATATTTTTGTATCGTGTTTTAGTCACGTCAATGGCCGATTGTATTTGGCCTTTTTTTTAATCAGAGCTTAAATCACGAAAGTGACTTTGATATTATGCCGGAGCTATATCAATTTTTTTTGTGAGAAGTCAAAATAAATCACAGTATCGAATTCAGGAAGAGTTGTTCTATCTTTTGATGCTTTAAAACCAGAAATAGCTCGCCAATCCGACGGGCAACCGCGATTTCAAAATGGGGCAATTTACTATACTCAGTTGTGGGTGGCGGGAATTCAAAACTGATATGGCGCGAAGTCTTCACGACTATTTCATTATTTATAAATATATACTTTGAATTCATACATTCATGATAGACTTTGTTGCGATAAACTGTGAGTCATGAAAGCCCCCCCAAAAATGTATGTTGTGTAGTCTTCGAATTCAAGTGTTTGGCAGGAAAATGTTAGACTTTTTCTTGCTCTATTTAATTTTGGACAAGTGCATATTGAAACATACATGCAGATTTAATTACATTGCAGTAAAAGAACCATTTTCCTTTCAATCTCCCTAAATATGTTTCCTTGCATATGATCAGAAGCATATCAGTGACCTTTATTGAAACCTTTTAACATTTTATATTGTATTTTTGAAGTAGCTAAATACAGTAAATAATTTCTAACACAACTCTATGACCATTTATTTGAAAGATTAGAATAAAAAAAATGCAAAAATTGTTTTACTTACACTTCAACATAGCATGCTTCTTGAGCACAATTTTATTTAATAATACAGACACAACAAGTTCTGCTGTAAATGTATATATAAATATTTGTAAAGATGAACAGAATAACAACTGCAGTAAATGAAGATGGATGTTGTGGATGTAAATATACTACCTGACAAGTATACTGAGGTATCTAGCAAATGGTCCTTCATTTAGATCTACCGACTACAAAGGAACTAACCTCCAGACAGAGGGCCTCTGCTTGAAATATCATGATTCGATCATTCTATATATTTTCAGGTAGTTACATCCAAAAATACATCTTACTTACTATTGAACACAGCTAACATCGTACTATAATTGAGATTGGTTATTTCAATTATTTCATAAAATTACAACACATTTCAAAAAAATCATCTGTTTTATATTGCACAACCTGTGCACAGTCAGATATGCATGCAATTTATTGTCTTCTTTATCAAGCACGATTATAACAGTTCCATTAATTGATGGGGGGGGCGACCAGTGATGCATATTGAATATTCAATGCTGATCATGAACAACCTCCACCAAGCAAACGGGATACAATGGTTGTTGGAAGCAATGACAATTAGTAGGCTGGTGTAAACTTAGTGTCACATGATAGGTGGTACGTGGCATTAAAATAGACTCCTTTTGACCAACATATTACAACATGGTACATCTCCAAGCTGATGCCAGTGATCATTGGTGTCGACAAACTATATGATATAAATTTGAAATATTTAATTTAAACAAATAATGACTACAATAATGACTACAATAATGACTACTAAAATACTACAGTTGCCATTGAATAGCAACAGTTAATCAAGAGTTTATAAAATTTTGAGTAAAATCTATTTGCAATTAGATTTTTTTAATGTTTCTTAATGTCAAAAACTGAATTTATTATAAATTTGGTACAACATTTGCAATAATTTTGTATGTAATTTACTGAAACACTATTTGAGTCATTTTATAAATAAATATATTGTCAAACTTAAATTATTTTGATCTTTTTATTCTAAATTTGTGTGCATAGCTCTACTGTACGATACATATATATAAGTATAAATCAATATTGATCTTTATTACCCTTTTGATTAACTATATAAACTGCAGAAATATTATAATTTAATTATTTAAATCATCTTACTTAAACCTTTTAATAACAACACAAGTTTAGTCACTGTCAAGAAATCATTTCGACAAGTAAAGCACAAGGCATTCAAACTACACGTACCCGCGATGATCCCAAAACGTTGTTTCGAAAAACAACGAACAACATTTATACAACAAAAAGTCGTTTCCATCCCAAACCAAAGGTATATTCCGTGATACAGACGGTTTCTCTTTCATAAATTGTTGTTGTGTATACAGCGACAGCTACCCGAAGAATGAACGGGGCGTGGCGAGAAATCGATAATATATAAAAAGCAGTGACTGGCCGCATTGCATGCCGGTATAGTCCTCACTCCTCCTCTGGGCACGAGTTATAATTACTGTATTTATTTATATATTTATTTATATTTAAAAAATTCATTAATAATTCACGAGGAAAATACAAAAGAAATGAATGTTTAATCAATCTTTGTAAATCGGATAAAGATTTGTCCTGATTTACATAAACTTCAGCTTTGATTTTCTCGGCTTAGACAATGCTTATTTTCAAAATTACTTTGCCAATGAACTCATAAAAATGGGTCATGTTTTACTAAAGTACGATAAAACATTCGCATCCGATCTGTATCTGATATACAAACTCTCGTCTTCGGCTCGAGTGTGTATATCAGATACAGACCGGCTGCTCATGCATGTTTTATCTAGTACTTATTCATCAGTCATACATATATTTAGAAACAACATGCAGTTGATAACATTGTTCAAATTTCGACAAGAGTTACAATTCAAACTTGCAGATCTCCATGTTCTTACATGGGTCCTCTAGTCTGCATCAAAACAACTGTGCAGGGCATTCGAGTTATCAATGGTATACAGGGCCTATAGTCTTAGCCAATCGATAATCAACAATTGCAAATGAATATTACAGCAAGTGTTTCTTTCCTAAAATAATTGGATAATCTGATCATTGACTATGTATATTAACTATTAAACACAACCTGGCAACGGACATTTCCAGTTCACAAGTTTCACTCTGAGTAAGTGTTAGAGAGGTCTACATTCTGGGTGAAATATCCGAAATTATTGCAATTAAAGTCTATAATTTTGCTTTTCGACGCAAAAATTGCAACTCGAGAAGAAATGAGCCGCTATTTTTGGTCAGCGTCGACAAATTGTCCAACTTTCTAGTCTGACAATTGCTACATTTACCGCTGACTTGTCCCCAGTCGTCTCTGTGAGCACGCGCGAATTTAAAAGCGCGCTCAGAGGTGGAAGAGAAGGTAGCCCCTGAGCGTGCTTTCCAATTCGTGCGTTCTCACAGAGACGACTGGGGACGAGTTAGCGTATAGTAAAAAAGACTTAACAAAAGAACAACATTTTTTTTTTATTTTACTTTATTTATTTATTAGGGAATATGAGAATTTGACGGCATATCAACCTGAAATTTTAGTCTACTACATTAATGTAAACTACAAACGTCTGGAAGTTCAACATGTCTGTCTAATATACCTTATATGAGACTACTAATAAGCGCTTAAAATAACAGTGTTAACAGTCACATTGTAAGCTTCCAAAATCAACTTCCCAAATTCTTTAACTCTTTAACAGCAGATTCAACAATTAATATCAGCCGAATAATACTACAAAAATCAACTTAGCTCAAGCAATCAACCATGATGTCTGTGCATGGGTGGTCATATATACTTGTCATAGAAAAAAGACAAAGTATAATTTCTCTCGTCTTTCTACATTAGATCAACAAAGTAATTTGAGCACTTGCATGTAGTTGATCAGCGGATTTATTGTTGTAAGAACTATAATATTAGAGAGTTTAAGTTCGAGTTCTGATACCAATACCGATATCGATATCTTCACTTCCGTTCTCATTTTTGTACCGGGAATTTTAAAGCGTCAAGAGTAATAGATCAACAAAGTAATTTGAGCACTTGCATGTAGTTGATCGGCGGATTTATTGTTGTAAGAACTATAATATTAGAGAGTTTAAGTTCGAGTTCTGATACCAATACCGATATCGATATCTTCACTTCCGTTCTCATTTTTGTACCGGGAATTTTAAAGCGTTAAGCTATCACACAGTTAATAATCTTATTTTATTAACTGTGGCTATCACGACAGATAAAATATAGAACACATCAATCGTCACCAAAAATGTGAGGTGTACTAAACGGCAGCTGAGTTAAAGTTCCGATTAAAACATGACTCAGGTGATGCTAATAAACAAATAGTTTGCGTGTTTATCGTAAAAATTATGTAATATCCGATTTATATGAGTTTATAAGTGCGAGTGTTCGCTCAATGAGTACAACAATCCACTCAAACTCACACTTCAACCCCACTTGAGTGCTCCTCACTGGAATGCCACTCAAGTGCGAGTGCGCTTTTAGAATACAGGCATAATAGTCTTGAAGTATTCTCAAGGTGACAGTATATATCCAAGTCGAAATTATAATTTTGGGAGGAAAAAGAATGACAACTATTTTCCAAATCGGTGTGGTAAATTAAATTAACAATTTTGGCAGCAAAAGGCTCTGAACATTACAATTACAATTGCAATTACACCCAGCATCTAAAAGCGACAATTCCTTTATTGTAACGTTTACTAGTCGACGTGACCTGTTATGCGATGGGATTGATGTCATTTATCGCTATCATGTAATGACAGAAAATTAAACAGCAACCAATCACAACATGATAATATTATCGTTTAAAGGGATCAGTTAGGGGCAATCGAAAGGTCTTAATTTATATGCAATAAATGAAGCTCTCTCAGCAGTGTTTGTGTTCATGTTTGATCTTTCAAATTTCAATGTATCGTCCAACTTCAACGGATCAATCACATGTCCAATTGCTATTGCATTATTTTTGACCTCAATTTAAACCAACACGAGACTAACATTTGCCCTAGAACCGTGCTTGATTCAACTAAATTTGAACTTTTCACGTTTCAACCTTGATCGTTTGTGTCATTTGGACTCGCAGTTGACACAACCGCCCGTATTCTATAAGCTCATTCGCACTCATGAATGGAAGTTCAATCTGAGCTTCTCTCCAGTGTCATATTGCTGTTTTTGAATACGGCTGGAGGGTTAGTGTTGTACCTTACTATGTGATTACTCACACTCCAGCTATTGACACTCAAGGGAAGCTCAGATTGACACTAAAGGGAAGCTCAGATTGACACTCAAGGGAAGCTCAGATTGACACTCAAGGGAAGCTCAGATTGACACTCAAGGGAAGCTCAGATTGACACTCAAGGGAAGCTCAGATTGACACTCAAGGGAAGCTCAGATTGACACTCAAGGGAAGTTCATTGACACTCAGCAAAGGTGCAAACTCAGATTGAACCGTGAGTGAGCTTTTAGAAAACAGGCATACGAATTCTTCTTTACCAGTTTCATGATTGATATTGTCTCGTAGTATATTCACAACGATTATACGCAGATTATGTTAATTCAATTAAGACACACCTGTGTAAATATTTCGTTACCAACGCGATTAGAAGTGAAGTCTTTCTTGATAAAGAATAGATAAAGTCAGGATCAACGCAGACAATTTATTCGAAGTCTAGCTGAAAGATTTGTCGTTCTGTAAAAGCTGGAACGAATGTATTTAAAGAAGAATATGAGGTAATTATAATACTAAGAGGAGCCATTTAATTGCTGCTTAGATCTAAAGAAGTATATAATTTTCACTCGAGATTTTAGATCTCTCTTCGATGTGAGTATTCCTTCACTATCCCTTAGTAATTAGGTATGGGCTAAGTAAATTAGTCATGCAAACGCAATTTCCTGAAGCATTATCGCCGGAAATATAGTTTCTCTGTAAATACTCGTGTTTCAGTTTTATCTTAAGAAATATAGTTGTTGTTACGTTCTTGTACGTCTAAAACCAAATGTAAAATAGTGGCGCTGTTATATATGTAAATGACCATTTAATATATTATTATGATTTAATAGTTATTAATGGATTTATTGTTTCTCCAATGTATTTGTGTGTCTGGCAGTCAAGAGGATGCAACGTCGTGGTTACTTTATATGAATGCAGAGTAATTTTTAGGAACTATATTGTTTAAAGTGCTTATGAAACGAAATTTTTGCCTCGATTTTTATTGTCTTATTAAAAGGTACTGCTTAAATGATGAAGAATGACGTTTACAGTTTGTGCGTATCTCATCTCATTCCCAAGTTATCGCACTTTCTATATTTTGAGTTGTGACGTCACTAGTTTGACTCAAAATAGTGGCAATAACAAGAACATCTGATATCTTGATGATCATTTAATAAAATTCAATGAAACTTGGCACATTTAGTGGGTGCAACGAAGTGAACAATTTGGCTTTTTTATGTGGTTGTTATGGCAACACACTCGTCCCCAGTCCCTTCTCTTCCAATTTCCATATGATCCATTTCCAACGAAATAAATAATAATTTCTGCAATTGTCGTTTATTACTATAATACGTGTAGGTATTGTGATCAGTTTAAGTCGTTATAACATGCAAACATCCTCTGCAAGAGGTCTACAAGAGGAAATTTGTGAAAAGTTAGAGAAGAGGCTGGAGACTAGTGTGTTGCCATGACAACCACATGACCTGCCAAAAATATTCATATGGGTGCACCCACTAAGTGTACCAAGTTTCATTGGATTTTATTAAATACTCACTAAGATATCAGATTTTCTTGTTATTGCCATTATCTCAAGTCAAACTAGTGACGTCACAACTCAAAATTTAGAAAGTGCGATAACTTGAGAATGAGATGAGATATGAAGAAACTGTAAACGTCATTCTTCATCGCTCTAGCAGTACTTTTTAGCAAAACAATAAAAAATCAGGTGAAAATTTCGTTTCATAAGCACTTTAAACTAAAGAACGAGACGACAATTATAAATCATGTATATTGAAAGGCCTATAAATTTAAAAGTCTGGTACAAAATATCACAATCCGCAAGCATTGTTTAGGAGCAAGTGGGACAAATGATGCCTGTTTTAAGACCGTTAGTTATGCAATTTTGCTCTTATTACGCGTAATAGGGTAATAAGCATTGATACTAGCTATATGCTATGTACTCACATATATTCCAGTATTAACACTGGACTCTGCTCCAGTGCATTCAATGACTTTGTTGGGAGCTTTGTTCAGTAATTCTCTCACACGAGATGCAACTTCTTTTGCTGTTTGTTCTCTCTGAACTTGAATGGTGATGTCTGCACCTAGCTTCTGGGCCATCTCAAGGCGTTTCTCGTCCAAATCTATATAAATATACACACTACCCTTCATTACTGGACTTTATGGAAAAAGTATTATTAAAAACACTTTTTCTGGTAATTCATTAGCCTCAAAAGTTTATGTATCTCAGACACAAACCATCCTTATAACTGTATAGCATCCTTCTAACTGTATATTTTCAGCCGCATTTCACTGGTATTAAGGCCCATTTCCACTCTGGAAAATTTTCCGCAGAAAGAAAATTTTGTAAAATGTGATTGGCCAACACAAATTTTCTGTTGGAAAAATATCTTAATTAAAGCTTACCAGCAAAATGTAAGTACACAGATAGCAAAGGTGTGTCATACTTACATTTGGCTGTAAACGAACAAGTACCAGACCCTAACAAGCCCGTCGTAAGCGGGTGGCTGGCTCGAGCCCCCCCTAATATTTCCATTTGTATAACAGGGTTCGTAGTCTCCAAGACCAAAAAAATCCAAAGACTTTCAAAGATTTTTGCTGCCTATTTTCAAAGACTTTTCAAAGACCTTTAAATGAGAGCAATCAGCTGTCGAAAAATTGCGAGTGTAAGCACCATTTTTACCCAATAATTAGTCCCGTCAAATCACATCCTAAAATGCGCCTTTTCGTCGATATTTGCGAAAATCGTGCTTCAACCAATCTATTTTATTAGCTAGGAAATTGTATAATCAATTCCTCCCTAAGGAAATTGAAGACTTTTAAAGACTTTCTTCGCTTTTTCACAATATTCAAAGACTTTCCAAAGACCTTAAAGACCTGCATTCAAATTTAAAGACTTTCAAGGATTCCAAAGGCAAAGACCGCTACGAACACTGTATAAGCAAAACACACAAAAGAACTAGAAAAGTGTGAAAGCAATTCAGAATTATTCTTGAGCCCCCCTAATATTGATTTACTTCCGACGGCCTTGCCTAACATCTGGGTAATATGTAAGTATGTGAATAATCACACCCTGGAATACTACCTAGTACACTGAACCTAAGAGCTCGCACTTGATCTTTTTAGGTCTTAATTACCTGTAATTGCAACACGACTAGCCCCACAGGCCTTTGCAACCAGTAGATTCACCAGACCAATAGGACCTAAAATTCAACATTGAATATGTTGATGTTTGGTGGACGACAAGAAATTAAGGTTAAGGCCAATGGAACTGTAGATTCTGTTTACCGTCCGAGAATTTAAAAAATCTGATGCGGGTTTTTTTCATTATTCATTTTTCATTATTTTTGTTATTGTCTATTTTCCGACCAAAAATGATCCTTAAATCGTTTTCTTTTGATTTCGACCATCAACACTTTTGTCCAGCATTTTTTTATCACTTTTGGGCTTTACTTTGCTGAAAATTTCTTTGTCACGCCATTGTTTTCGAATTTGCACATGTCAGACTCGCGAATCTCCGAGTGTACCGAACAAATGCTGACAGACTGATCCGTCATACATCACCACTGTACTGCTTTTTATATCGAAAATTTGATGATTTGATGTAATATATGAACAACGAGAGCGAGTGTTTCACCGGAATATCCAAACACGAGAAAACAATGTATGAGAACACGAGCGCAAAGCGCGAGTGTTTTCATACATTGTTTTCGAGTGTTTGGATATCCCGGTGAGACACGAGCTCGAGTTGTTTATATGGCTTCTCAAATGAATCGAGATGTAACAGAATGTTTTCGTTTGCTGATTTGAATAGAATTCTTAACCAACCATAACGTAATTAGGAATTCTATTCAAGTAATTTTGCATGCGTAATTAAGATATTTGATGAAAAGACTAGTGACTTTCATCAAGTATCCAAATGGCATCTTGTGATCAAATAGGTGATTATCATTGGCTGAATTACTCATGAATTATTAATGAATTTGAGAAGTATATTTGAAAGTTTCGATGCATAGAATTAAAAATAATGACAAATAATGAAAATAATTAAGAATAATGAAAAATTCTTGCGGTAGTTTCAAGCACATGCGGGCGGTGGACGGTAAACAGAATCTACAGTTCCATTGGCCTAAAAAAAATACAACCTGGGTGGGTTGACTACAAAATTTTTGTAGTTCGCTATAACTACAGCTACTTCAAAAATATGTAGTCAGCTACAACTACTGCTACTTTTGAACAAAGGTAGTTCGCTACTGACTACAGCTACTGCTTTAAAAATGTAGCGACTGCAGTATTTCACTATTTCGCTACACTATAATTTTAGTTTTACTGTATTTGGAGCATCTACTAACTCAGGCTGAAATGTAACCTATAACAAATCGACTTACGAGTAGCAACAGTAAACACAAAGTAACATTTTTGTAAGCACTACAGTGTTCAAGAGTGCAAATTGACTATGTAGTATTGATTTTAAGCAAACCGTGTCTCAATATCATTCTACTCTTAGCCTATCAAGTTGCTAACAATTTTAAAAAGTAGCGAATAGCGATTCACTGTTTGAAAAGTAGTCAACTACTTGGCTACTTTTAGGCAAAATGTAGTTCGCTATAACTACAGCTACTGTTTTAAAAAAGTAGTCAAAAACTACTGGCTACATGAAAATTGTAGTTCGCTACAGTAGCGAACTACAACTACTTCGCTACTACCCACCCTTGAAAAAATATTGCCAATTTACATCCTAGATATTTGACGTTGTAGCTAGATCTTAAGCAATCTATTTACCTGCTCCACACACCAGAACAGTATCGCCCATTGTTATACCAGCTCGACGACATGCATGGACACCAACTGACACTGGTTCAAGTAACGCTCCTTCTTCAAAACTCACAGAGTCTGGTAACCTAGAAAAACAAACATGAACATTGGACCCCAAGCTATGTAGGATTTTTCTATGTAGGATTTTCCCCAATCTTCTCACAATTTAAACACAAGGAATTAGAAAGATTTAAATATTCCACCATACAAAACAACGGCAGGACAAAAAAGTTTCCCTTATAGAGCTGTAAAGATTCAGAATAACATAGACAACAACTTGAAGAAATTACCCTTAAAAACATTAAAAATTATACAGAACTTCTAATGTTTTAAATGTAAACAAGTATTAAAAAGCCCTGATAGGGAATACTGTATTTAGTATAGGTAATCATCAACATCACATGATTACTTGTTTATTATTAGCATGACAAAATTGGATACGTACTTCTCAATGTCAACATCATATTCTCTCGCCAAAGCCCAGTCTTGCCAGACTTTCAACCAAATTTTGGTGCTTTGTTTGTGTTCAAGCAAAATTTGGTGCTTTTGTTCGTATTTTCATCTAGTTCCTCCACAGCAATTTCATTTCGCAATTGTGTTTAAAATACCTTTCCGCCGTTTTGTTTGTTTTGGGAAAATCATTAATTGTACTGCAGTACAATTAATGATGGAATTGTACTCCTCTCACCCAATCAGCATCGAGTAATTTTGTCATGCTAATAATAATAATTTTAACATGAAGAACTTACTTAAAACAGAAGTCAGCAGGATGACAGTAGTATCGACATAAGGTGCCATGATACGGAGGTGTTGCAGCAAATTTCATTTCAGCACAGAGGTTGTAGCGTCCAGTCTTGCAAAAGTCACACATCCTACATGGATATCCTGGTTCTACTGCCACACGATCACCAACTTTTAAATGTGCGACGCCTTCACCCAAGGCACTTATAGTACCACTGGTCTCATGACCCAGGACCATGGGGCCTGTTACAATAAAGTCGCCAATTCTTCCTCGACGTAGATAATGTACATCTGAACCACATATCCCAACAGAATGCACAGCAATTTGAACCTCTGTATTCAATGTATGTCAAGGATAAATAAAAATATATAAACCAGGAACTGAAAATTAATTTTTTTTCTCAGTATCCGACTGGTATACCAGGATTCAAGCTTAGTATCATCCCTGAGAATCCAGTATCCCACTTCTGGATACCGGGTATCATAAGTATTCTACCCCGTCCCATCCAAATAAGTTTCCATAAATCTCACTCTAAAAATCACGAAGGTATGTGGCAAGTTTTATATTCTCAACTTGGAGTCTTTTAATTTTTCGGCATAATATATCATTTATAGACCTGGCAAAATATTACCTGAAGTGATGTTATTTGTTCCAAGAAAAAATATCATCACTGAGGGTAATATAATTTTTGCCAAATATTACATATCAATTATGGAGAAGTCTGTTCTTTTTCATATTTGTTTACATTATTTCTTTTAAATTAAATATACTCCTATCTTGTTACATTTCTCAGTGTTTTGCAATTTAGGACCAAGAAGGAAATTTATTGTATCTGTATTTTATTGTACTGTTTATATTTATTGTACTTTTGCAAATGAATTGCTGATTACAAATTGCAGTATTGCGCATAATATTAGCTAGATTATACTTGCTATCAACACACTAAGAAATCTTTCATTCTCCTGAGAACTTTGCTAATAAGATATATTATATTGCGCAAAATATTTTTATACCTCCTTTCCCAGGTTTTGAAATTTCACGTTGCTCCTATAAATGCAAATAAAACACAAATATTAAAATGGTTTCCGACATTTGCATTGTACAAAAAAAACCAGCACAACTCACCAAACGCAAGTCATCTTGCTTGTACAATACAGCACTCAAGTTATCTGCAACCATGATTTCGAATTTTCGAGTTTTCGACTTCTGTAAATTATCTGTGAATCTTCTTCTCCAAAATTGTTTTCAAAGCTCAGTGCTTCCATTTTCAAAATCAAAATTTCTCATTTTTGTCATCAAAATTTCTCTAAATTCCTTAGATTGTATACGTTATTTCCTTGAAAATTCC